GCCCACTAAACCCTGTCCCTAAGCGCCTCATCTACACGTCTTTTAAATACTTCCAGGGATGGGGACTCAACCACTTCCCTGGGAAGCCTGTTCAAATGTTTAACCACTCTTTCAGTACAGAAATTTTTCCTCATGTCCAATCTAAACTTCCCCTGGTGCAACTTGAGGCCATTTCCTCTCGTCCTATCGCTAGTTACTTGGGAGAAGAGACCGACACCCACCTCGCTACAACCTCCTTTCAGGTAGTTGTAGAGAGCGATGAGGTCTCCCCTCAGCCTCCTTTTCTCCAGGCTAAAGGAGAAAGGGGGTATGTAACTGCAGTCCTTCACTACCTAAAGGTGGGAGGGGTATGCAGAACACAGAGCCCCAGCCTCCCCAGTTAGGAGAGGCAGGTGACCTATAGACACACATTTTCCCACTTGAAAAATACATTCCTGAAAGGTGCAATGATTAACAGTTTGACAGATAGCAAAGCATTTTGTTCATAAGAATTAACATAAGGTGCATCTCAGTCTCTGAAAATCCAGCATCTCCTCCAGTTGATGATCCTTGCCTCCACCACCCCCTATATACTCTCCGTGTGTATTTGTGTTTGCCTGTTAAGTCCCGGATTTCCTTCTCCCCCATTATGTTAATTTTTATGAACAAAACTGCTTTTCTGTCTGTCAAACTCTGCTGATTCATCTGTGAGGCTGAATGCTTAACATAAATCTTTCAGCATGAGCATTCTTGCTGCCTCCTTTGAAAACTCATTATCATCACCATCATCTTCAGCTCAATTGTGTCAGTCAAGGGTGAAGGACAGGAAAATGTACAGATGATGAATAGCAAGCAGGGTGTTAATGAATTGGTGCTGTAACTCTAAAACAGTGAATACAGAATTGACAAGGGCCAGCAGGGTGTGTTCATATAAGAGCACAGGCTGCGGAAGCTGTGTTTGTTCAGCCTGGAGAAGAAGAGAAGACTATGGGGGATCTGGTTGTAGTTTCCACTGCGTAATGGATGGAGCCAGACTTTCAAAGTAAAGCATAGAGAACGGTCTAGAGACAATGACTGAAAGTGGTAACAAGAACATTCCTCATGGGAGGAAAAAGGGAAAATATTTTCATAACAAGAATGGTTAAACATTGGAAAAAACTGTTCAGAAAGGTTGTGGAATGTTCATCCCTGGAGACTTTGCACAGTCATCTGAATAAATTCCAGATCAATCTGAATTAACATAACCTGATGTAGCTTTGAATTCAGCCCTGCTTTGAGCAGGAGGTTGGACTAGGTGACCTCCGGACATCCTTTCTAACCAAACTATTCTGTGATTTGAGAAGTGGAGCCTTGACTTACAGCCTAAAAATACTTACGGAACTTAAGCAAATGTGAGGTTTTTTTTTCTTCTTGAATACCCATTTTGCTTTTAGAAACTTTATTTTAAGGACAGATAAACTCTGTTTTTACTTTTAATCTGCTACTTGTGTGATTAAAACTTTACACATCCTTCCTGTGACAGCATTTGAGATCTCAATGCCCAAATAATCTTTTTGAAGGCAGCAGGCTGAGGTCTGCTGTGTTGATGAAGTTCATAAGTATTTATAATAGTAACCTGGCACAAGTTTTTCTCTTCTTTAGATGTAACGTTTGCATCCTTTAAGAAAAATATAGCTGCTTTAAAATGTGATGATCATAATGGGCAGTCTCATAGCTAAGCTGTTAAAACATACCGATACATTGATACTTGTAAATTTTTTTCTGTATGACTTGCAGTTCTCTTTTCTACAATGACTGTGGAGTATCTATATTTAGAGGTAATGTTTTATTACACTTCTCCAACAGCAAAAATTCAAGGCATGAAAAATGCTGTTCCCAAGAATGATAAAAAGAGACGAAAACAGCTGGCTGACGAAGTTGCCAAACTAGAGGCAGAACTTGAACAGAAGCACAAGGAGGAATTAAAGCAGCTGAAGGAAGTTTCACCTGAGCAGAATAAGGTAGGTGCCTTAACTTTAGCTGCGGTTGTACAGATACAATTTGTGTTAGGGCTTCTTTAACTTTTAAAAATTATAATGAAGTAACACTTCAAAGTATTTCTCCTTTTCCTCGCAGTATTGCTAACTCTTTCATCTTTGGAAAGATTCAGCTGTTATGGTGGGTGAACATTGCAGTTAAATGCTAAAGGGGCATTTAACTGTGGGGTTTTATTGTTGTTGAGCAGCATTTGGTTTTGCTCTTAGGGCTACGTTAGTAGCTCAGTCGTCTTGAAGAATTTTTTTTTAAGTTCCTGTTATATTGTCACTCTAATTATCTTATGTAGACTACTAGAGTATTGTTGGCCTTCAATAGGCATTTGACTGATGCAGTGTCTTTTGTCTTGCAATTCTGTCAACAATGTAACTGACCTTTTTGTAAGAAGACACTTTCTGTGATGATGAGAATTGTCGTCTTAAATGCTACTGTGCTGCCATGTTGGCAACATAGCTACATACTTAAATGCTTCCAGTTTGCTGTTTGATGGCAAACGACTTAATTTTTAACCGAGGCTTAGCATTATTCAAATTTAGCTGCAGGAAATATGACCACCTGAGTAAACTAGGTACTATTAAATACTTGTGTGACATAGAAAAATTCACCTATGCTTTAGCACTTAATAAGTAGAGCGTTGCAAACTTCTGTCGTAGTGAAATCCATAGACTTAATTCTGTATATCCAGTACTGAAAAGAACTCTATTTGTGTCACATGCCTGAATTTAAGGACCATTTGTGCAAGTATGCCTGTTCATATACTTTCTCCTACCTAAATGGAAATAGAGCTTATGGCTAAATTGGTGCAATAGTGATCTGTGAATGATGCTAATGCTCCATGCTTATACATCTCCTTAAGTGTTTCCATAACAGTGTGTGTCTTTTGGCTGTTTAAATCTTTTAAAGAAACAAATGAAAACCTGTCTGCCTGATGCTTTCTGGACTAGGTGTTTTCTGATTAGTGACCTAACAAAGAGTTAAGCAGAATGTACTTTTGTTTGAAAATGAGAGTGAAAACATTCCTGAGTGACTTTTAGGGAAATAGACTTGATTAAGAAGCATCTGCTGAGAATCCTTGTGGAAAAAAGTTTTCAGTTGCAAGAGTTATGACCCTATCACAATCTTTTGTAGTAGTTTTTAGTCAGATGCTTAAGCAGATGATTAATGCATAAACATTAAACATAATGCTTCTATTTACCTGTATCTTAGATTAGTTTCAAGAGTTTGTTTTATTTTGCTAAATGAGCTGTCAAAACTTTACGACGGAGGACCTTTCAAGCTAAAATCCTTGCCCTGGACATAGCTTTGCCTGAGAGGATTTTGTTTTGAGATGTATGGTTTCTTTCACTTCTCAGCTTTTTTATTCAGATTGAAACATGTCCAGGCTTCCAAGGGTGACATCTAGTTCATACTGTTATGGGGTTAGCTTTGCCATTTTTCTTGAGAAGTGTCAACTCCCTGCCTCTTCCAACTGCTTTTTCTTTATGCTTTGGTATGGAAGGTGGAGCATTCTCCTGCTTTAATTGTCGCAGAACTTGATAATGGCCGTTTCGGTACTTCAGTCGGCTGGTATGGTGAGGAAAACTTTCCCTTTCAGCCAGTAAGCAGTGTTCACACTTCAGTGTGGAAGCTTGCAAGAGAACATACAGATTAAATTTGAGATGCGCAGTTCATAACTGTCTCTTTGTTGAGACTACAGAAAAAGTAATAAAATGCATGACAGTGGTTTGGGCTGTGAAATGGTTTACTTTTGCCTTTGACGGGTTCTGTGCTATACCCAGATCTCTGTGGTTAAACTTCATAAATATAACCTGGAAATTACCTAGGAACAGAACTTAAAACTGTTTCAGGAAATGCACATCTCAATTATCATTTATACTAATAAGAACATTTACCATTTTTTTTTCTTTTTAGACAGATTCTATAGCTGATGGGGTCGCAAATTTAGAGCTTGAAGGAGTAGAGCAACAGAGTCAGCATCCTCGAATATCAAAAGCACAGAAGAGGCGGGTATGACTTAACATTTAAAAATTTTACAAATATTTGATTGAAGTTATATTCTCTTAAACTTAACCGTAATAACCAAAGTTAAACAATTTTGCAGGGGACTTTACCTGGCTAATTCAGTATTGATGCTGTACCTACTGGGTGCCTTGAAAATCTGTAAAGCTGCTACCTAGAGATATGTAAGCATTTTATAAATAGTTGTACTTTTTTTACCCTCAGCCATGAGCTGGGAATCAGAATAGGTCAGGAGATGGGAGCCAGAAAAAACGAATTATGTAAAGCAAATGATTTTAAAAGAATTTCACTAAAAACATTAATGAAGAAATAAAGTAATTGAATTAAAATAATGTAAAATACTACGTGGAAAATATGCAAGTAGTAGAACTTAAACATTTAACAAAAGAACATTAATACTGAAATTCCCGTAAATTTTTGAGTTGTTAAGAAACACTACCTGGTGTCCAGGCCGTTGGGGTTAAATCTTGTTAAGCTTCAGATGTTACATTGCAATGGATTAACATTCTCATTGTACCTGCATGAATGTTGGTTCAGGGCTGGAGGAGCACTCCTTTATTGCAGAGTCCATCCCCTGTTACACGATCACTACTGCAGAGCTGCCTTGTAACAAACATGATAAAAGGATGTTCTTAATTCATCGCACCATGTCTAGGCAAACTAGAAACTGTAGGCTAGTTTTCCTATATGGTAGTTGCCTAAACCAGTCTGGTCTTGATTTGTGGTGAATTTTAAGTGGGAAAGGGAAAAGACCATTCTCTGTACTGCTTCCTTTTTTATTTGCTCGTTTACTTTGACTCTTATTCCCTTGTTAACTCAAGCGTAAACTTAAAAATTAGTTTTACAGAATGCTTTGTATGTTTTGTATTATTACATCCCCTCTAGTATTCTCTGTATGCATTCTTATCCGTCCTTCAGGTTAGGAGCAGTCTTTTATGATGTATAGTACCTAGCCTGAGGGAGTTTCAGTTTCGTGACATGAGCTCCGTTATGCAATCATATGCATAAGTGGTAGATCTCACACTTACTATGAAAGAGCAATATTTTCTGTTGTTTAATTAGAATTCTCATACTTGAGTTGTTTGCCAGTGTGGTGAAATAGGTGATCCTGAAGAAATGACTACTATTACTAGGCTTTGTACGGGTGTTGTAAAGTGTTATTTTGCATGTTGATATAATTAAGACTTCTCCTGTGACATAATTTCGGGTATGGTGTCAGAGGCAGTTAGGATAAATTGGTCACATTTCACAGATATGAATGTACTTAGAAAACATGTAGAGTTAGAAGCAAGCACTAAGCCAAGAACTGTACAGGTATCTTCTAAATTTTAACAATTGATGTAATTTTTATGTGTTTTTAATCTAAGGAAAAAAAAGCTGCCTTGGAGAAAGAAAGAGAAGAAAGGATAGCTGAAGCTGAGATAGAAAATTTAACAGGTGCTAGACATCTTGAAAGTCAGAAACTTGCCTCCCTGTTGGCAGCAAGGCACTTAGAGATTAAACAGATCCCTTCAGATGGCCATTGCATGTACAGAGCTATTGAAGATCAGCTCAAGGACCGCCAAAATTCCTGGACTGTTGCAGCTCTGAGGAACCAAACAGCAAAGTATATGCAAAGTCACTTTGATGACTTCCTGCCATTTCTTACAAACCCTAGTACTGGAAACATGTATAGCAGAGGTAAGACTTGGGGCATAAGAGATTTTAAAAACTGTTATAATTATTTCTGATAATTCTTGATCTCAGTTACAGCTGGTTGGGACTAATCCATTATGGTGTTTGTTACTTTGTTGGTTTGGCTGTGTTCTGTGGAACACAGGATTATGGTCTGCTATGAAACTTGGTACACTTGAATCTTTGTAATTTATCTTTTTTTTTTAAAGTAATCTAGCAAACATTATTCCCCATTTAAAAAAAAAAAATCAGAACTTGCTGGTTACTAGCTGGTAGTCGTGTTCTGGGACATGATTTAAGTTGCATTATAAACAGCTTGTCTACCAGGTTAGGGATGACTTTTTGTCAACTTTTATATCGGTGTTTTCAATTTACGTAGGAAAGCTGTTAAAAATGAGTGTGAAATTCAAGCAAATCTCTTTTATAAGAGTTTGCATAGGTGTTTTTTCTTATTCTACCCTTTATTTTCACTGTTTATGTTAGGCCTTTTGGAGCCCTTTCTTATAAACAGACTAACTAAAAAATATAAAGGCATTTAGTGTGGGGCAATGGTGTAGGCTGAGGAAATGCAGTTAGATGGAATTTACGTACTTCTTATTTGAGCAATACGTGGTTTATTCATTTCTTACTGTGTGTCTGGAACACTTTATACATATTTTTAACTTACTGCTACGTTCATTTAATAGTTATTGCCGTGGATTTCATTTGGTGACTGGGGGCTGTTGTGAAGAAGGAGGCGTCTTTCCCATGTTGACAGAGATAATTGTCACAGGATAAATGTGCCCCAAGAGAAGACTGAATAAAGTTCTGCAGAGCAGCAGGGACTTGTGGTTTTCTTATGTCTCGAAGTCTGTTATAAGGGGAATGTATGAAAAACAATTCTGAGCAGTCTTCAGAAAATCCGTTCTTTCTTTATCAGAATCTATTCATAGGGTTCAGAAGCCTGAATCATTATAATTTATAAATTTGAAAGCTTGATTTCTGTAGAACATGATCTGCAAAAGGTTTATGTAGCTATTAACAAAGGAACTATTGGGAATAAATACTTCAGAGGTTAAAACCAAAGCAGCTAATTTGGAAATTAAAAAAAAACCAACAAACAACAGTTGAAATACATATAGTTACAAGACTTTTTAAAAACATACCTGACACCTAGCCAACATAAGAAATAAGCATACTACTTGCTATCACATTCTTTTCTAGAGTCTCAAAACAACACCCTCTGAAACTTAACAGGAAGAAAACTGTATGCCATTTCATGCTTGTTGTTAACAGTTCCCTGAATAAAAAGTTTAAAATATAAACCTGTACTCCTTTTTATTCCCATACTTGTTTTTATTCCTGTCTTCAGTCTTAATTTTTCTTTCTAAAACAGTAATGGGGTTTTATTTAGCCTCTTTATTTAGCCTCTGGTGGTCGTCTTTTCCTTTCCTTCTCTTCAGTGAACATACATATTTTCCTGTATAATGTGTTTGGACTTTTCAGGTTCTAGTTCTTCATTGTACAATGAGTATTTTTCCTCAGTTGCTTCCTCTCAAATAAGAGAAGTACTAAAAGTTGTCTTTTCTTTTCTTTCCTCACAGAGGAATTTGAAAAATACTGTGATGATATAGAGAATACAGCTGCATGGGGTGGTCAGCTAGAAGTAAGTATTGTATTGATAATTTTTATTTGTGAAATTCTGAAGTGGGTGAATGTACCTTCAAAAAAGGGCTTCTTAAGAAATAATACCTGAAGGCATAAGGGAACATAGTCATAAATAATTTATCAAGAACTTTCTCCTGTGGTTATAAATTGTTTTCCCAAATTAGTAGCTTTTCTGATGGTGCGCTGCTGTTCTGGTGTATCTGACAACATGCAAGTTAACAAATTCAGTAGTTCTGAATCATTAGAAAGACTGACAGTATGAGTGGGGGAAGACTTTCTAAGAAGAAAGCATTTTATTATGCAGACTTAGAAAGCTGACTAGAGCAGAGTGATGTTAGATTTTTGTAATGTAAACCAGAACTTGAGCTTGAAAAAATACATATTTATTTTAGTTTGTGTCTTATTTATTGTTTTATGAAAGAGGAGTTGCCAAATTACTGAAGCTAGCCCAATGTTACCTGTGTTGTATCATCAAAACAATGATTAATTTAAGAAAACCTGTTTTGAATTAAAGTTTAAAAAGTTAAAATAATTTTGCTTATTTTAAAGTTTATTTTCTAACTATTTGAAATGTTATGCCCGAACTCATGTCTGCTAAAACTAAATGCCATGTCTTCCTCTGTCCTCCCTACATTTGATTTAATCCTATTATTGAATTGTTTTTATGCCTTAAAGCTAAGGGCTTTGTCGCACATTTTGCAAACACCTATTGAAGTAGTGCAAATGAATTCCCCTCCCATTATTGTTGGTGAAGAATATTCAGGCAAACCAATAATACTTGTGTAAGTATGTAATTTTATCCCTTCTTAAAATTAGTGCACTTATTTGTAGAGCAGAGGGCTCAGCTTTGATTCTCACCTGCTCTTTTATTTTCTGTTACATATGTGATATTGAAATGCTGCTTGAATAATGATCTTGCAGGTCAGAAATTATGTTTGTGATTGACACATTTAGTTTAAAGATATTGTAATTAAGAGTTCTTAAAATGCTGACAATCAGTCTGAAGTGTGATTCAGTCACTGCTTTATAGAATGCTACAAGGTCATTTTACCTGTTAGATAATTAGAAAATAATAGTGAAATTGATAGAAGATTCAGTAGGAAACTTTTTTTTTTGTCAAAGCTTATGTCAGTCTGTGCCTGGAAGTCACCAGAGTTAAAAACTGTCTTTATTGATAATCTCCTATTTAATGACCTTATATATTTTCTGTGCTAAAACTTGAATTTATTTAAGCTATCTTTCAGTGCTGTAATGTTTGGCATGATGTATACTTTTAGTTAAACTGAACACTAATTCTGTAACATGTTGGTTTTTTTTTTTTTTAGGTATATGAGACATGCATATGGATTAGGAGAACATTATAATTCTGTAAAACTTCTAACAGACGCTGCTACTGAAAATGGGAGCTAGCATACAAAAGTCATAAATCCACATGGATAACAGTTGCATCTTGATGTGTTGGGCTCCAGACAATTCCCAGACAGACTGGAAAGTAAAACTACATGGAATGGATTAAAAATGATAAAGATATGAGACATGCATATGGATTAGGAGAACATTATAATTCTGTAAAACTTCTAACAGACGCTGCTACTGAAAATGGGAGCTAGCATACAAAAGTCATAAATCCACATGGATAACAGTTGCATCTTGATGTGTTGGGCTCCAGACAATTCCCAGACAGACTGGAAAGTAAAACTACATGGAATGGATTAAAAATGATAAAAAGACCTACAAGGTTTGACTATAAATCAGAAGTAGCTCTCGATTTAAAACCAAACCAAAACCACACAACAGTATTTTGAACTTGTTGGTATTAATCATGTTTAGAAGACCTTCTCTAAAATGGTGGCTGTGTAGATGAGAAATTATTTTTTTTTTTAATAGACCTTCATCCCATGCTGCCGTGAAAATACCGAGTAGTAAATGTTTTGGTTAATCTGCATTTCTGCTGAAGAGTGAAGGTTACGTGAAGGTTCCTGTTACGTTATTTCTGGCAGATTTTGATGATCATGGAAGAGCTAAGGCAGTAAAAATAATTTATTTTATTTTGATTGATGGAATATCCTCTACAGTGTTTCTTTAGTTCTATCAGGATCTAGCTTTAACACTGTAGTAGAGATCCCCTTCTTTATTTGGGCAGAGAGAAGAGCTGGAGGCAAATCCAGTAGTAGAATATCTTGCTTGGCTGAAGGAATTGAACAATCTTTAAAATAAAAAGACTTAGTAATCTAAGACTTTTACCAAGGTTTGAGGACTTCACTTTTTTTTGCAGTTGACAATAGGAACTGAACACTTGATGCTGCTCGTAGTACTGAATCTGTAGGAAGAGCATTGTTGTTTATGACTATACATCATGACATTGTTGCAAGTTAACTGTGCTGTTCATCCTTCATAGTCTTTCATCTGTGCATTTCGATCATACAGAAATCTTACAAACAAAAAGCTCCTCAATGTCCTCACTTCAGGTAGTGAAACTCATCTGAACTCATCATTTATGGATCTGCTGATCTAAGCACTTCATGATCTAAAGTGAGATGTTTCATAATGCTTAAAACAGCTGGTTGCATACAGGTGTAAAAATAACCACCTTGGGTTTTGTCAGTAACTTTAAAGGCGATCTGCAGAAGAATTAAGTATATTTTCATTGTTCCTTAGACTTGCACAGAGACTTGAAGGGTGGGGTTTTTTTAATATGGCTTGACTTTTCACATTAGAAACGTAGATTTTTGTCTTCAAGTCACTGTAAATGTGAGTCCAAAATTAGCAGCGTACTGAAACCAAAGTTGTAATGCAATTGTTTTTTAACAATAGAAGTGATGGGTTTTTTTTTTTCTTAAAAAAGCCTTAGTCAATAACATGATAATTGTCAGTATTTTAGTGCTGATGAGTTGGTTTGGAGAAAAGCGGTTCATGTCAAGTTTAAACACATTTGCTCTGATTTGAGAATTACGAGCTAACAATGTGCATCTTGTAGTCCTTCAGTAAAGCTAGCCAGCAGATTGATGTTCCTGGGACTTACAAATTAGAAAGAAAAATCTGCTCTTACTTAAGAAAAAAGAGATAAGTGTTCACTTTATGGATCAGATTATGTCTGATTTAAAGCACTTTGAGAGAGGGAGGGGGAAAAATCAGGCAATTATAGCAGGGGGCTTTGGACAAGCAGAACTTGAATTATGACTTCTTTAGACTGGTGCCTGCCAGGAAAACAAAGTATTACCCAGGCCAGGAGTTTTTACATCCTTATTTATCTGATACAGTGTAGCAAATATAGCTGTATTTATAGCAGCTGGCTTACTGTAGACTTTGGTTTACTACCTTGATTGTAGGAAATTATGTTTTTAATTTCAAACAAAAAATTGGATACAACAGTATGGAAAAAGTGTCTCTAATCATAATACCACTATGAATTTCACTAAAAATAATAATCAGAAATACTCTTCTCTGTGTTGCTTAGAATTGACGTGCTATGAAATGCACATGCTGCATTTTACAGATATCCTGTGAAAAAAGTTCTTTGGTTTATTGGGTTTTCATTCTTGGTTGATTAACTGACAGAGAAAAGATGCCAGAATCGTGGAACGCCTGTACCAACAGTTTGTCCTGTTGAAGATGTTTACAATTTGTATAAAGTGAAATAATGTTTTAATATAGTGAGTGAAAGATCCTTGCTCATGCTGTATGGGACTTGCCAAAAAGTAATAAATCAGTTTATTTGTGGCAAATCTTGTTGTGGTCACTTTTTATTTTGTACTTAGATTGTTCACTTCTTAATTCCTAGTATTAATACATTTACTCATTTAATTTTTACGGCTTTAGGGTCCTACTGTAGTATGAATTCTCCAGCAACTGACTATTCCTATTCGAGCAGACAAAGCTTCACTCTTTATGAAATGAAGTTGTTTCTAGACAAAACTTATCCTCAGCGTTTTAGTAGTTAAACTTGAACTCTTCTGAAAAGCTGTATTTGAAAATACTATTGAACTTCTCCATACATAAAAATGACCAAGTGAAACTGAGATTTTTTTTTTTTTTTTCAGAATTTAGCTTTTAACGTCTTTGTCAGGTTACATTTTCACCGCAAAACAGTACTACTTATTTTGAGCTTATGTGTATTTAAGTAGCTTTTCTTGCTTTTATCTGCAATTCGTTGACAGCCGTTTCTTCAGCCACTGTTTCTTTTAAGGGCTGTTAGGAAACTTCTGTACAAGATTAATTGAGATCAGTTTCCAGTAGGAATGCTTACGTGAATGGGAGGGAAACTGTCCAGTGGTCTGCAATAAATTGTGTACGATATTCTCAAAGGGAAGAACTCGCTTGTTGTCAAAAGCCATGGGTGCAGAGGTAGGCCGTGAGGCCCCGGGGAACGCCTGGAGTGGTATGGGGCATGTGCCCCTGGCTACAGTGCCCCTGGGGGTGGAGTCAGGTGGTGCTGGGCTGTTGCCGTGGTAACAAGCAGTGGCGGCAGTAGGCCGGGGCGCTGGACAGGCGCGCCTCATCTCAGAGCCACACACGGCGTTTAGCATTCGTCCCTGTCGCATTTGTACAATTCTCATAACCTGTTGTGTTTACATATATTAAAATACTACACCAAAGCTGAATTTGTTTCACAACTAACTTGCCTCGAGGCAAAATTGCCACTGGAGGCACTTTTTGCTTCCTGTCCATTCTCGGTCCTTCCCGTCTCCTCTTTTTAACAGGCAGTTCAACAGGACCTGTGACAGGCCCCAGGAAAAAAACAAGGCTGGAATTTCAGGTCTATGCAGAGCACATCCCCCCTGCTCCTGCTCTGTCTTGAGGAGTAAGAGGTGTTGGCAGTGGTGTGACTGGGCGGATCTGATGCTGTGGGATGGTGGCCCCGTCTCTGCGGTGTTATGCTCGAGTGTAATATTGTTATGAATTATGAAAGTGAGAGTTACCGTAGCTAAATGCGCTGGCGGCAGATGGGGTAGGGGCACTGCCTCTTGCAGTTGGTACTGGGCTATGGATTTTGCCCGGTTCTCCAACCTTCCTCTTTCACCAGCACTGGTCGCCTTGCAGCTTATGTATTTACTGATGGGACAGTTGAGTAAGCGGAGATAAGCAGCATCTCTTTCGTAGATGATACGGTCACAGTGCAGACAGGCCGTGGTGTATGTTCTAGGAGGTCTTGATCAGACATACTGCATAGGTGTGCTGGATAAGTGGCACCTTCAGCGGTGCAACAGCCTTCATGCCAAAGGAGTGAATGCTGAATGCCCCAGAGATACCCCAAAGGCTGTGGATGTCAGAATGTCCCATCTGCATCATTTGGGTAGACAAGACAACACTTTGGGCCACCGTCTTTCATAGACCATGGAATTGTTGGAAGTACAACTTCTTATTTTTAGTCCTCAAGACACAACCTGCCCTCCTCTATCTCCCAGCTGATCTCCTGGGATGTATTTATGAATGACAAGCAGCCCATGTTGATTACTTAATTATGTAAGTAGCTGAGCAGACTTAAAAATAGCATCTGAAATGTAGAAGGCATTTTCTGTGCTTTTCTTGGCTCCAGTAAGAGCACTAACCCACCAATTCCTTTGTTTTGAGAGACTAATAAAAGCAGCAGATGAGTTATGATTAATCACTAGAGGCATATGATATACGTAATTTTGAATACAACTAAAATCGTTAGGAATTGCCTCCATATATTATAAACAGGTATATCATAAAAAGAATTGTTCACACACAAAAAAATGTTTGGTAAAATTCAAAATAAAGTAGTCTCTATGTTCCAGATTAAACAAATACATCAAGGTGTCAATTCAAAAGCTTTATCCTCTTCACAAATTAGAAGAATTGGAGTGCATAAGCTTAAATAGTCAGAAGATAAAAAAATATTCCTAGGGAGCTACATTTTCTGCAAAGGCTCCCTGAACTTCATCAGTCCTGCAAATATTTTGTCATGATATCTGAAGAGATTAGATACATGAACAGTCTGAAGATGCTGTGTTTGTCCAGAAACAAACTTAACCTTCCAGGTGTGAGTAATGCTATTTTATTTTTTTTAAAGCTTTTTTTTTTTTCTTTTGAAGAATAATGTTGTCTTCTGAAAACATCTGAGCAAGGTATCTTTTTTTGAAATTATTACATAAGTCATGAAGATGCACTTCAGTAATTGCATTCTGGAAGGTATTTGAATACTCTTTCCAGGAAACTAAGGACATGGAGATTTTAAACTAATAATTCTTCCTTATATACATATGTATTCTATAAAACTCAAAATATGAATAAAACCTCAGCAGTATAAATAGGCAATAGTTCATTGTTAAATCATAAGGCTCCATTGAGTTGGGAAAGAGCAAGGGACAGAAGATGGCATATCTAATGAAGAACCATTTTTTCTCTTAGCTGTATGCAGAACGTTGGAGCACAAAAAGCCAGAAGCAGAATAGGGAAAGTTGATGCTAACTGGGGATACCTGAATGAAATGCACAAAAATATCTGGGCTAAGAACAGTGGGGCGAGAGAGAATACTAACATGAGGGCTAGAATA